ACTGTTGTTCATGTCGTATCCTTACCGAAACGTCCTGAAACTTATGATTGCTGTGGATTTCCATAGATGTACTACATTAACATCCATTTCTAAAGAAAAATGTTGGTCTCACAGACGTCACTGTAAAGTAATTCTGGTTAATTGGGCCATCGATTAATCGGGGCAGACGTTTATTTGGGACAAATCTTTAACACTTTACGTGAAAATTCGCATAACTGAGGCAGTCGCTTAATTGGACCAAAGTGTTCTAATCCCGATGTGTCTAATTAACCGAAATCCACTGTATTTACTCAAGAGGGACAGTTATGTTTTGAAATTTTACTAATTACATGAAAGACTTTTCAACTTAAACATCTAATAGTTGCTTAGACGTTCAAGAAATTCCCAACATTTTATGAAACTCCAAGGTTCATCACCGTTATCATAACAGCTCGCCCCATCCAGAACGCGATGAATTCCAAAAATAGTACTTAAAATTTTCCAGATTAAAATTTAATAATTACCTATCAAATCCCTCATACGTGCTACGTCAGATTCTAAAATTTTTGAAGGAATTAACTTTAATTAACTACAGATAATACGATGATTTTGAACAATTCAAAGAACATCTTTCTTTCTTGGTGGATCCCCTTCTAACTGAAGGTTTTGCGGTATTCATTTAATATATTTAGACATTTGCTATGACTCCTTGGATGAGTGATCAGCCCGTCGCAAGGCGTCTACCTGTAAACAGGACAGCAAAACACAGAAATACGCCTACAAACATCCATGCCTTGAGTTGAATTCGAACCCACGGCCCCAGTGTCCAAGGGTACGAGGCCACTGTGATTTAATGATCATACTTAATATATTTATAGGACGTTAATAGGCATTTTCCTATTTCAATATAAAACAATAATCATCCTTAAGGTACCTTCCTGAGGATCCATTTCAGAAAGGCTTTATTAATAATCAAAAGTGGTGGTGAATTGATTTTGTTACCCCCCCAGTCGCACCCATTCCGAGTCCCCAGAGAAGCAGACGCCGTTGTCAACATTCAAGTTCGTCTGTCTGCTTTTATTTGTTGTCAAACATCAATGTACACGCGAACGCAAGACAATAATACTAAATCTGGAAATAACCAAACCAGTTTCTGTTCTTACTTGTACAAAAATCACTAAACGAGAATTAAAATAATTTGCCCTTTTTCGGATCGCCTTGTCTCACTTCCTTAATAATATATCTAGTTTATCGTTTGCGAAATTACACAAACAACACGAGTTTCTACGACGATACAAGGCCATTTCGGGTTTAATTTCCAGGCAATGTCGTTGTATGAGACTTGAAACCTTCTAGGCTAATGAAATCAATGGCGTCTTATCTGGCTACTAGACGTACGAAACGGAGTTAATCGGACATTAACAGAATACTGACTTCATTATAGGACGTTCCATCGCCCGAGAATATTTCATTGTATTGTCATTATAATCCACTAAAACTTTCCATGCATTGTTTCAAGTGTTACGCCATTGTTTATGAAGAATTTTAATTTTAATTTTATGGCGCTTGTAATCCTGGGGTCTCGGGTTCGATTCCCGGCGGTGCCCGAATTTATAACTTGTGTTGGGCAAGGCCGTGGTCTAGGCAACACGGAGTTTTCCTCCGTGGCATCCCAACAATTACTCCATTCACACACACACACAGAAGAAGGCAATGGCAAACCACTTCTGGATCATCTGCCAAGAACGTATATGAACAGGTCCCAGTCCGAGAAAAGGATGGAAGGATCCTGTTCATATGGACCTGTCGTCAGACAGAACACTAAATAACATCGGACTTTATTATAATGAATAAGAGTACACCTGTATTACCAGAGATGTTGGGGAATGGCGGTTAGTGGGGGTGGTGCTTTACCGGGGGATATCCCTTGAAAAAACATAGGGATTTGTTTCGAGGCTTTCATGGGCGCAATTCGAGAGAGACGGTTTTAGCAGGGACGCTGTGTCGGGATTGATTTGACTGTATTTGAATTAAGAACTTGAATACCGCTGCTGTACGGATTTTATTATAATGAATAAGAGTACACCTGTATTACCAGAGATGTTGGGGAATGGCGGTTAGTGGGGGTGGTGCTTTACCGGAGGATATCCCTTGAAAAAACAGGGATTTCTTTCGAGGCTTTCATGGGCGCAATTCGAGAGAGACGGTTTTAGCAGGGACGCTGTGTCGGGATTGATTTGACTGTATTTGAATTAAGAACTTGAATACCGCTGCTGTAAAGAATGGTAGCCCTATTGTTCTGATTTAGATGAGAAGTTACTAATATCCGGGTGCCACACACAAATACAATTGTGTTACTAATGACGCAGTCCCATGCGATCACTTTTACGAGTTGCCTTGTGCGGAAGGTCTTTCTTAAGCGTAACAAGTATCAGGAACTATGATTTCTGGCGTCACTGTCCGATCATAGTGAGAACAAAATGGCGACGGAACTGCGATTTCTCCAGCTAAGAGACGGGTCAGAAAACAGACGAAAGACGCAATGCGTTAGATATTTTAGGTCCTCGCGGCTTTGACGACGTCAGTGTTGGCCTTCTGAGTCGTAAAGCCATGTGGAACGAAGAGCAAATACCAGAGTTTTGGAGGAACGAGAATTTTGCAGTGGATTAGTGGGGTTAAGGATGATTCAATGCCAGGAATCTGTAAACACGGTAATAAAATTTCGTGTCATATAAAATGGAGCTAACTACGGGCTGGATGAACGCGGTTCGATTCCCAGTAGGATAGAATATCTTCACTCTACAGCCACGTCGAACCTGGTATTGGTTCATAAGGGCTGTTTCCTCTATTGTAAATCATCTGTAACGGCAAGCTGATCATTCACCTCCATCTAATGCTCTGAAATTACGAATACATGCGTAGACAGAGGCACAGATGTAAAGTAAAGTAAAGTTTGTCCCACTATACGCCATGTAGGCGTTTGGGGTGAGAGGAGGTATAGCTCCTCCCTTCCTTGACCTCGGCACTAGATAGGAGTGAGTGGTCAGCATCACGCCCCGGCCGGCTTTACCCCCGGGAAAGAACCCCGGTACCCATTGTAGAGGAGGCTGGGTGGGCCCCAGAGCCGGTCTGGACGCAGAGGCTAGAGGAAAAATCCTCTGCCCCCGTCGGGGATCGACCCCCGGCCGTCCAGCCCGTAGCTAGTCACTATACTGACTGAGCTATCCCGGCTCCTGAGGCACAGATGTAAGAATTATATTTAAACGCATCTCAAATAGTATGATACTCTGTGGATTGGATTCATCTGGCTCAGACTTGGGACCAGTAGAAAGCTGTTACGTACATGATAATAATATTTCAGGGTCCTCTAACAGAAGAGTAGCCGAGCAGGTATCGGCTTCTCAAAAAGAACTCTGCTTCAACAACATATCGATATTGGTTGAAGTCCAATGTCGGAGTTTTCGACAACGATAAAATTTCGGGTTCGATAAAAGACATTGGGCAATTGGGGGAAACCAAGGACCACTAACGAATACAGATGTTAAATCTGTGAACACGAGTTCGCTTCAACACTAAAACCTGTAAATATATATACAAACACACACACACACCTGTATCCCAAGGGCACAGTCAAGTATCTGAATAGTAATGAAGGAGTTCAGCAGAGAGCTAAAAGGACAATTAATTGTGCGATTCGCTCACCCAGGGTCAGACCAGTTTTTTTTATATATCATTTTCTTCGTCGTGTGTTTATGCTGTACTTTCAAAACGGAAGACAGACATGTAAGCAGCGCATGCTATCGGCTACGTCGGAATCCTTTATCGCCTAGTGTTTTCTTATCCAAAAAGAGAAACATGGAAATTACTAAACTTTGTACCTGCTCAGATTGTCATCGTCTGAATTTTGACACGTGCAGTTACCAAGGTTTCGGAGAAACTGGCCTTCGCAAGGTTTGAAGACGCTTAATAAAAGGATGATGCAAACAATATTTCGACCTTACGAGGAGGAAGTAACAGGGATGATGCAGACAATTACAAAATGAGGAACAAACCCTGACAAACAAAAAAACTTCTCTTCCTATTATTTCAATTGCCTGGTTATTATCTGAACAAAAAATAAATTATCTGAAACCAAACGGTAACAAACGCCTCTAGATTGAAACTACTCTTTACCTAAAAATATTCATTGTCAGGACTATTTCCATCGTCTGTTCTTTAAAACCACGACGTTTCGGAGGCTGGTTCTGTCTCCGTCTTCAGGTGAGAGGTACATTACTCTGTTGGGTCCCTTAGATAGAGCTAGTCTATGTCGCTGGACGGAGACAGAACCAGCCTCCGAAACGTCGTGGTTTTAGAGAACAGACGATGGAAAAAATCCTGGTAATGAATAATTTTAAGTGTAAACTGCCGTCGTCAAAACACTTTAGAATTGAATTACTCTCTACTTCTTCAGAGAACAAAACAAATCCGAATAATATTTCATAATGAGGTCCCCATCTCCAAGAAAACACTTCGTCACCATTACAAAGTTCACTCTTAGCAAACGATTTCCACCTCTTGATTTCGTCATTCCATCATTTATTCTTCAGCTCCCTTTTCCTTCCACACGAAATTTCATCCACTTTCTTTGCATATTCCTTCCTGGAAATGACAACCAATCACATGAGAAACTTACCGAAACGTCGTGTATAAACCCTCTAAAGCCAAGAACCACTAGCGTCGACAATGAGCAAGTCTGCATTTTGTATTTATGAGTTTCGTATAATTCTAAGTGTAAACCGCGACTATTTTCTTAAACACCATTAACTAGTTGATCTTTGAAGCGGTGAAGAGGTGCGTTTTCTTTGCGGTACGGACTGAATTCTTTATATTATTTAGACGGATTTCGAGCTCTCTCTCGAGCTCAAAGGGTTGACATAACACACACAGTGTGCAATGGACAATGGCTAACTGCAGACCGACGCCAATCCGGGTGCAGGACGTGCGTTAACAACCCACACTTTGATGTGACGGGGGGGAGGAGGCGTGTGGGGCAGGGAGACCTGATGTGAGCGGCGAGAGACCAGCATCAGTTGAGGTACAGCGGTCAACAGTGCGACACGTGTGTTCAGATATCATCAGTGTATCACCGTCACAACAGGTAGGTGGCAGTTCTCAGTGTTATGATGACCTTTGCGTTGTTTGGTTATCATTTAACGATGATCTACCAACTGAAATGTTATAGGTATTTAGCTTGGGATGAAATGTGAGGATGTGTATGAAATTATCCAACTGTACAGAAGATGAAATGACCGCGTTGTAAATTTTTGTTTAGATGAGTTTTGTGCATTAACAACAAGCCTTCTGACAGAACTGAATGGATGCATTTTTCATGACGTAAAACTTGATCTCTCACATTATGGGAAGAATACACCGTCTCAGGGTGTGAGATTTTAGGTTTTCATGGCAATGAGAATGATTTTCTTGTTGTTCTGGTTTTATTCTCCAATTGAAGATGGAAACATTAAGTTCTTCCGAAACGTTGGCATCTGCCTACGAGTCAACGTGGCTCCAAAACCCATAACATCATCATCACAGGTTGAGTGTTTGTAAAAAGCGTGTTGAGGAGAATATTTAAACTTAGGAGGGATGACGTAACAGGAGAACAAAGACAACTGAATAATGAGAAGAGCCATAATTTGTACTCGTCACAAAGTATTATTACTGCGATAAAATCAAGGAGGATGGGCAGGGAATATAGCACAAATAGAGAGATGAGAAATGCTTACAAAAATCGTGTTAAAACGGACCTTAGGGAATAGGCAACTAATATTTTTTCTCTCGAAAAACCGTCCCAGATAAATTTATCATTGTAAAGAATATATACTGATGTATTCCTCATGGAGGCTCGTAAGTGGTCTTACTCAGTCTAGTGGCAAGAATGGCGCAAAATCCCACAAGACAGTCTTCTACATACTCGTCGCCCAGAAATATCACCAAATATCACTAAGTTTTGTATGAATTTACTTCAGAAATTAAGATAACAGTTCTTCAGGAAAGTTTTATTTCCCAAAAATTTTTAACTATCTACAGCAAGCTATTTCAGAAAAGTTGGGTTAAATCCTGGAACTGACTTTACAGTCAATATGCATATGTTTTTCTCTAGACACTAAAGTTCCATATCTTTATTCTTTCCTTCATAATTATGACTGCCAAAGAAACATATCCAATACGACAGGTCCAACACCTTTGTTTGCATTCATCCATTAGGATTTAGCAGTATCTCGCTTTGTCCTTTCTTAACGTTATCTTATTTAATGACAGTAACGGGTTATTTCCAGCCTCTAAATTACTAACGTTCTTGATTTATAATGAAATAAATTCAATGACGTCAGCACAATTTAGTCAAGAAAGATATTGCTCGTATATTTCCCCTGAAGTAACCTGCAAAGAAAACCTTGGCATTTATAACATGTGCAGTCGCTTAACAGCATTGTTAGCAACTCGAGATTCTGCACGCATGCGCGCTACGTCTCTCACGAAAAAAAAAAAATACACACACTTCCATTAATCATGAAGCATCAAATCTGACCATCAGTTACGGAGTAGGATTCAATATTTATTCAAGAAACTTTTTTTCTAGAAATTTGATTAATTGTTGATTTAGAAACCGCCTGTCTTATAAAACAGCGAAAATGAAGCAGTTATTTGTGTTTACTGTTTCCATCATCAGGGAGATTTATCGTCCTCGCGATAGACTAAATCCTATATGACAGTTGTGTTCAAACTTGACGACACGGAGACTTGAAATCTCACTCTGTATTCTGAAATATTAAATTACCTCTAATTAATTACAATGTATCAAAAATTATGTTGTGTCTGCATCTGAGGAAAGATTCTTTAGTACCCACCCCACATGCAGTCCACAGAGAAACGTTCTGGAAAATTCTAACCCCAATACTCGAAATTTGATGTTGAGTCGTTCATAGTGAGGTCCCGGATTCGATTCTCGGCTACGAGGCTGTTAGCATGGCCGAGATACTTTCATACCCTCAAAACAGATGCTAGAATATGACGTAGATCGGTCAAGACGGCTATTTCTTTCATAATTCATTATTCATTCATTCTCATTCGACGCTGTATTAACAGTGGAGTTGAAAAAGCTTCGTTAAACAAACGAACGAGAACACAGAATCTGATCTTACTTCCAGTAACAAGTTAATTTACCAACTGAGTTGTCGTGATAAACAACAAGTATTTATAACAAGAGATCTGGTTTCAGGTTAAATAAATGAACAGATCTGACTTGTCACTTTGGCAGTTGTGTGTTTCGACTCCGCAACGCGGTGAAATACATGAGGGAAAATTTATCACACGTGATTTGTGCATTCCAACCATTAAATGTCAGACATATATCTTGACCTAATTTGAATATCTAAGACCCACCTTCGAGAAAAAAAAGTGTTTGTACAATTGGAAAACTGGTAACATTTTTGTTTCAATGCTTGGTTGCACACACTAATCCGTACGATAAGTTACTGCCAGTACAGTATTAGACAAAACGCAACAAACAGCCTACTTCTCCCGCAAGTAGCTAACGAGCGTAGAAATGCGTACTCCATTTGAGTACACATACCTTAAAAAAATTATTATTTCTTATTTTACATAACTAAATGACTACGATGTTCATTTATTGTAAATATAAATTTACTGTTGCACAACTAACAACACATAAATCACAGTGAGCAAAGGAAAAATGTATTTTCTTGTAACTTACTTCGTTCGGCATTGTCAACATCAAAATATAGGTAGTATGCAGAAAGACTTGTAGTTATATTTTATAATTTTCACCTACTACTTTTGCGTGTGACTGTCGACGTTTCGGAGACCCTTTCTGTCGCCATCTTCAAGGCAAAGTAACTAATGCCCCCTACCGATAGCTTTGGATTTAGTGTAAAGGAGGGATTATAACTGACAGGTAGGTTCTACACACCAATAATAAATTCGTCTTTTCCGATGATGGTGTTAACCCTCCATAATAAATTCAGCCAAAATGTCCGTTCATTACTTTCGCACCTGAAACATTAATTCGGATTCTTACTATGCCGCCATTTGGAGCATAATTTATGATGCAGCATCGCCGACATTATCAATAGAGACTATGCTACACGTTTCCAGAAAACCACTCACAAAATGTAACCTGACAAGATAGTTGTTGTCCCTTCGTACAAATGCAATGACCGAATTATAAAACACGCCTCTAAGAACCTAATACTTCTCGTTTGTTTCTACATAAAAATCATAAATTGATACAATAACGTAAAGTAACTGAATAACCAATCATCTACGTGTGGTTAAAAATAAAAGCAGCGATTTAACATTTTCGGCGCTACGCTCGAGATATCTCGTTTAAAACACTTAATTTATTTGTACTTCTAAAGATCTGTAGAATAAATATCTTTCGTCATCTGTAAACGGTCGATAGTTTTCGACTATTCAATGATAGGAAAAAAAAATTCGTTACCATAGAAATGTACTGATAAAAGACTGTTTGAGCACATCGTTTGAAAAAGGTTAAATTCATCCACTGGCCTTGAATTCTGCTACTATGGCATTAAACCAAACAGAACAAACAATGTTAGCGGCATAGCTTAAGACTCTTAACTAATCCTTTGTTTCGTTTCTGTTACCTGATTTAGGTGGAATGTTTGCCGCGAAGCAGTCAACATCAGTATTCAACCAGTTACTTCAGAGAAGTCTAAGCGAAGAAAAGAATGAGTGACTGACAGACAGACGTACAAGATCGTCTGACAACGCGGTGACAACCTTGCGCTACTCAGAGATCATGATCTATCCTCCCGTTTCAGGATCTGGATCTAGCGGAAGTAGGATGAGAGGTACGGGATCCAGAATTGGTGCCAGTGTCAATGGTAATGACTGCGCAAAAGGCATGCGTACTGGTAGAAAGACGAAACAGCAACAGCAAGTTCAGTGGAAACAAAGAAACGTTCAAGAAGGCATCGTCGTTGTGGACGAACTTCAGTTGTCGAAACTTATCAAGAGGGACCCCATCCAGAAGTTCTACGACCTCGATCCAGAACCCTTCGCAACGTAAGTACAATTATTCAATATAGTTGTAGCATGTTGCCATAGCAACGGACCATCAAGTGTTTTATCCATATAAGACGTCTACAAAATTATTTTGTCCACGAGTTTTTTCAATTTATTTCGAAACCGGGTGTTGGTCGAGTTAAGAAAACTGCCCGCATGTAAATCAGAGGATTCCAGCGTCGTTGAACATATTTTAAAGTACTATTTCGAAGTCTTCGCCAGCAGATGGCTTTCTTTATGTCGAAAGACGTCACAATATACAACTAGACTACCCATGAAGAAGAAAGCAGCGGGTTCATCGAAATGTTGACGACCACCTACGAGTCTCATCCGGTATCACAATTCACAAGGCCGCGCAAACCTCAAAATATTAACATCGATCGACATAATTTTTTTTTAAAAAATCTGTGAGAAACAATGTAAAGATACACAGATGGTTACGAAGTAAGAAACCATCAGTTTCTCATCGATTGCTATGAAATGTTATACAAAAATTTAGACGCTAATAAGCCTTGTCTATAAATTCCATAATTTTTTTTTCGTTGTTCTTGCTAGGCACCTGCTGACTCCAGCTACGCAAATGCAACAGTGGTCACTCAAATGTCACCAGGACCATTTGCAAAGGTTAAACACTTACGTATGCGTCTAAATTTTTAATCTATACGCACCTTTCCTAACCTATTTCTTAAATGTACTGTAATATTTTAGTAAATTACATCTGTGGCTGTGAATGTTTGGTTTGAAATCTCGCTCGAGTTCCACTGAATATTTCTCTAGGTTTTTTTCTTTCCTGGGTGGAAATTTCTGTAACTTCTCCACGGTCTAAAGACCACCTCCGTGAGTCCTCCTAACAGTCAGCATGCCAACATGTGCTGTTGCGGTAATGAAGCCATGCAAAGCACTCTGCCTGCTTTCTAGTGGCCACATCGTGACCAGCAGAACGGGACCTCTAGCTTGTTAACTCTTAACGTAGGGGAACGAGCAATGTTCTCTGGTGTTATTGAAAACAGAGCATTGATACTGACAGGGCCTGTGTTTGCGTTACACTCTGCAGATCTACGTACTCTGAAGAAATATCAACCTTTACAGACCACTCAGTTGATCAAAGGAACGCAAAAGTTTAGTTAACACTTTGAAACCGAAGCTCGTCTAAATAGCATATAAGAATTCAGTCCGTACCGCAAAGAAAACACGGAACTTCACCATTACGAAGTTCAATGTGTCGATGCTTTTGAAGGAAATAATCAGTTTACACCGAAGACTTTATAATGTGTAAGTAGACTTAGAGTATCACGTAAAGAAAGGTGTAAGATGTTGTATGTCACGTGACGGAAAATAATAGAACTGAGAAGCATTTTACGTACATATTTAAGAAGTGGTCACAGAATCAAACAGAACCGGAATTTTAAAAAGAAATACCAGGTGCAAGGTGCTTGTCACAAGAACCAGTTATGTAAAATTGCAAAGGACGTATTTCATTTCGTCCCAATAGAGATTCCGTCGTAGCCAAATTCTCAGAAAACACCATCGGCGAATTCCTCTTACCAATTCACTGTCATCCATGAGGTAGAACACGACACAGGATAAGACACGGTTTAAAATTGTAACAAAAAGCTAGACAGACAGTCATGCCAACAAGCAGCCACTGTAGGACATGGCAGGTGTTGGTTCTGATGTTGACAAATTGATAATTAAGCTGCCAACCAATGAACATCGACGACACTAATCGTCTTATAATGACAATGCAGCTCAACAGAAATTAGTTAAGAGCACGTTCATCAAATGTAAGCTAATTCAGATTCTTGTTAATGGATTACTAAACGATTCTCCGAACGTAATGAATGCTGACACATAATGACACATCCGTCCATTGCAAATTAAATTCAATCCTACATCATAATTTTTTTCTGCCGCAGATATATTTTTGTATCATATGAAATTATTTGTCTGCTATTAGTACAATACTATGATAATAGGAAGTAAAGTAACTTATGAGTAAAATCTCGATACAATTTCCCTCTATATAGCGCCATAGCCCCAAATCTGTAGCAATACACATGTACCCTTAAGCATTAAAAGAATATCCGATATAGCGCCAAACTGTACAGAGACAATTTTGCTATATAAAATAAAACGTAATCAGGTAAGAAATCACCTACAACGACGGTAGAAGGATCTGGGTTGCATCTTTGGGTTAGCGGTTTACGTAAATGGCAGGATTTCGAATCCAGGATGTTGCGGTAAACAGGAATATTGCCGAGATTAATTTATGTGCAGTCACATGCAAAAATTGAAAGTCTGATAGAATGATCACAAATCTACTCCTTTTTTTTGGCTGCTTGACAGGGTTAATGGACTCTTTTATAATGAAATTTTTTTCTGAGTAACGAACTTAAGTATGCGAACACACTTCAGGTTGAATTCAATCATGTGATTGGCAACAGAGTAAGTTACGCACAATCAGACACACGTGCTTATACCTAAATCATTTACACGTGTGTGACATGAGGAAAGGGGTAGTGTCAAGTGTTGAAGAACAAAGAACTTGCGTGCCTACACATAAAAACTTGCGTTAGACAAAGTGTGGAGTTCTAACGGGAATCGAGTGTGTTTAATCAAGCATCACATTTAGGAAATAGCTCCAATCAATCTCAATCGCGGCACTAGATGGACGTGAACGGCCAGCCTCACGTCCCGGCCGCCTTATTCCCAGATAAGAATTCGACTGTATTCATTGAATGGGTGATTAGGTGGAGCCCAGAGCCTGTGTGAACACAGAGATGTAAAATGAATGCCTTCCGGGAATCAAACCATGCCCGTAGAGAAGTCACTGCTACTGAGAGAGTATTATTGTATAGGTGCATCTGCAGTCAACAGTATCATACGGTGAAGTCTTATACGTATGCAGTCCAAATTTAAAGTTAACACGAAACATGGCTTAGGCCCACAGAGGCATGTCCCTGGTGTACCAATTTCTAAATCAAAGAAGTAAATTGCCAGGGTGCATTGCCGTCGGAGGACGAAGTACAACGCAGTGTGTAATTATCATGCACCAGCAGTAGTACGCCTGCAATTATACACGCTCTTAATTACTACAAGTGAATATTAAGTTAAACCATATCAGACAGCATTAAAATAACATCGATGCATCGAGATGATTACGCTCGACACAATTTTATACTTGTCAGGATTACACAAGAAATTATGCAGCCCAAGTTCACGCTGATGGAAAATTTAACGTCGAAATCTGTTAACATTTTAGGTGTTTTGGGCAGAGGAAATATGATATTTCAGAGAGTTAAGTTCATCTAAGTGATAGGTTTCTTCAGTAAGTTGTGGGGAGCTCCCTGTGAGTATAATAATAAGCACTGTTAGACTCTCCATAGTTGATCTCATCACCCAAACCCTTTAAATCCGAAGATCGTCTAAATAATATTTAAGAATTCAGTCCGTACCGCGAAGAAAACACATCACTTCACCATTACATAGATCAACTAATTAACGCTGTTTACGGTAAAATAATCGCTGTTTACAGCGAGATTCATACGAAACACAATATTACAAAGTAAAAATTTATTTGGCTTTAAATGGCTGATATAAAATATCGCCACGTGTTCCAGTGAAAAAAACGATCATATCCAAGTCTGATCTACAAAACAAGTGAAATATTAAAAAACCCATTTAAAACATAATATGTAAAGTTAAACATGTAAGACGTTTAGGTTGAGTCATAAGTTTACGGTTTCAGTGGGGTATTGTACTCATGCAAATGTAATCAAGCGTGAAACTGTCCCTATCGAAAACAGTGCCAACTGTCTACCAAATTAGTTACGGCAGACCTATACAGGCTACGCCCTACAGCCTTAGGAACACTGGAACAGTGACCAATACCAGGTGGACGCAATGGCCCTAATATGGGTCAGTTTCCCAGAACTACTGCCTGGCTGGCTACTTGAGTGGTACAACACTTCATTCACGATGGGTGTGGAATTTACATTAACGCTGGCAATGCACTTTGGTGAGGAAAGCGAAAAGCCTATTTCACAATGAGCCGACGGATCTAACCCAGACTGTTCAAACTTTAGCCAATCATTTTACTGGCTGAACTGTGCCGTCTCAGGAGAATCACGTAACATTGGATATTCTGGGACACTTAAATAGTGATTTCATACTCATCTTCCCAAGTACTTTGATGCTACAGCTCAGAAAAGTCGTTTAACATTTCCATGCCACGCACGATATATCTTGTTTGGCCCTTCTGACAAGAATTTATTTGATGTTTGAGAAGATAAGTGAAAGGAAACTATACCAACATCTCTCGACAATAAAAGACAAATTATTCCCGTGTTTCGGGGTCTTGGTTACCAACAACAGAAGAAATGTTACTGTGGCCGAAATATCAACAGAAGGAGGCTTCTTTGAATTAAATTCGGCACAGAACAGATCAGTCTACGGATTATAAATATTAATAAAGAAAAATGATAGCTAGAAGATTCAGAACACTGTGAAATTCGAACACACACAGCTTGTCTGTGTTTCCTTCCTTTCGTTGCAAACAGTTACGCCAACGCGAGCAACACTGACAGGCCACAACCCGAAGGGCAAGGGTGAAACGATAAGCTCACATCTTATACGACAAAGGGATAGGTCAAAGGTCACTATAATCAGGCCCCAAGTCAGAACCGGTCCGACCATAAAATAAAAAAAAATGCTGGCATTGTCAACCCGCGCGGTTCACACAGACACGCCCCTGCAAACGACGAACAGAGGTCACCACAAAACCCAAACGTTCATCACGTCTAATAACTCGAATTCTGGAACAACAGCTTAAAATAGGCCACGACTAATTCGTACCCAGTCCATTCTCGATTTCACCCAAAACAGGTCACCGCGTTAAAAGAGCGCTGCCCTCGACACAGACATTAAATATTACACAAAATATTTTACCCAATACCTGTCTTTTTTTTCTAAAGTACAGCAAGGGACACAATCCTGATCAAATTCCATCTGCATCCCATCCTCACAACGTATTTACCCCTCCCTCTGAGCGCCTACATGGCGCGCAGAGGGATATATTTACTTCCTGGGAGAACACAGGCTTGAAACGTATTCAACGACATGGAAAGAACATTAAATTCTGTTGCTGAAAAGACGAGGCACCATTTTCCATAGATAAAAATCTCAAAATTGTCAGATTTGTTAAAAAATAGTTTACGTTCAGTGGCGCCGCGAGATATATACATGTAGAATAAACCTACTCAGTGAATTATTTTCCGATTCTTTCTGCTCGCCTCTGGTACCTTCCTGAGAACTCCACGAACATTTCTTATTCAACAAAATCACGTTCATAATAGCCGTCTATTACACGGAATTACAGAAAATGCAGAATCACTGGCAACTCCGACTCACTTACAGAGCGCGCGCCGATCTTGCGGCTAGAAGATTTTCATCGCCTTACTTTTAATCTACTCAGTTCAATAACTGTTGGAAACCAGTAAAACATCTTTTTATAACGACAAGTAATATCGCAGATTTAATTAATGGAGACAAAAGCGATAATTAACCTGTCGTTTCCACATCGTCTTTATAGCCTATGATGAGAAGAGTTAATAAAACAAAGAAAAATACATAACCAGGAACTTCGTAATGTGTACTCTGCAAATTGTTACGACTATCAAATCAAGGAGGATAGGCAGGACAGGGCATGGAACATAGATGTGAAGACCGAAGAACGTATATAAAATCTCAACCGGGATATATGAAGGAAAGAGACCACTTGGACGACCTACGCATAGATGGAAAGATTATATTAAAATGGAAAAAAAAATACATGTGAGGTGCGGGCTGGATTAATCTGGGTCAGGGTATGTTTTACATTGGCAAGAGGCTTTGTAATTTCTTATAAGAAGGGTCAGGTCATCTAAGAAGGCCTCTACCTTCACAGAACAAGACAAAAGAATGGAATGAATCCCTAGAAAATGTCGCTTTTACTGTTAACATGATTCAGAATCGTGAATTTTAAATATCACAGGCAAATGATTCATCAGGTGAGAAATGTGCTGAGGACAAACGAAACAACTGGATATAAGGGAAAATAAATGTTAACTGGTAAGGATTCTGCGGTGTGGTTAAAATGACTGGAACCTTACAAAGAATTATCAGGGTTTAGGTATTTAAGTAAAGGTTAGACGAAATAAATTACTTATAACCTCTAAGTTTAGAACTCGCTGGCCATGGATAAGTAATGACACAAAATCTTGCAATTTTATAGCAAACTAAAGACCTCGTCCCACTAAACCCAACGCTAATTGGTGTGATTTATCGTCTGAAGCAGACGTCTTGTTCTCTTGACTGCCTGCATGGGGCTCGTAACTTCGATATCTTCCTTCCTGTAACATTCCTAACTGCATGACGACAAACAAACGCGAACAGCAGAGAGGGGTACTCCATAACATTTTAAAGCACAGTGGTAATTATATCTACCATTCCTTTAACAATCAGTAAATGTATATTTTGTATTTACAATGTTCGTATAATTCTCAGAATAAAGAGCGATTACTTCCTTAAACAGCGTTAACCCGTTGATCTTTGTAATGGTGAAGTGTTGTGTTTTCTTCGCGGTACGGGCTCATTTCTTAAATATTTTTAGAGGATTCTCTGCTCCAAAGGGGACACACGTGTACTTTGTAAACGTACTTTGTTCCGACCTTACGCAGGCACACACACGATAATCTCGACCCAGGACACCTGACGAGCTCTTTCGAAAACGATTTCTAAACAAGCTGAGAAACCTATTTGCAATATCCGGGAATAAATGGGATAATATTAAACCTTGATTTAAATAAATATTGTGTGTAGCTTACATGCGAACTCATTTAAAATGGCTCCGGATAGGGTCTAGTGTTAAGCGTTTACGAGCACGATAATGAACCTTCAGGTTCCGTATTTATTGATCACTTTAGTGATTATTACAATCTTTCAAGTAGGATCTTGCACCATAAATTCAGTCACTAGAAAATTACTTTACACCCATAACGACGACTTATAGGTAATGACACATTTGTTTATATCATTAAATTTTAACGTGAAAATTGTTGTTAATTAACGTAAGCGGATAAGTGCCGAGTTTGGAGTTTGAAGCAATTAATTCCGTATCGCTGCGAGACTGTCAGCTGTCAATCAAGTCATGTAATAAAACTTGTTAGGTGGGGCCCACTACATTGTGTCTGGCAGCATGTGTGAATTACTTCAGGATATACACGTGAAATATGTGTCTGCCGTGGAATAAAATAAAGATAATTGGATTTTGCTTTAGTAACACACATTTCCATTAAAAGTAACATTTAAAATGAGTGGTTTGAAAAATGTGGTTCGCGTGTCTTTTAATGGTCGGTTAAATTCGTTAAGAACAAAGATTAAAGTAACGTCATTTAAATTTTGGTAGTCGAATTCCCTTAACGGCTTTCGACAGACAGGAAGCAGTAAGTCACTGAAGGGCTACATCGTTTGTACTCTGCAAATTACACTGTTACGGAGATTACATCAAAACAGACAGAGCATATAGCACGCATGAAACAATTTAGTTACGTGACGGGGTGACATAGACATGTTTATGAGGTAAAATAGGTTTTAGAAGAATCGGCCTATCTACAGTGCGTGTGAGTGTGAACTACATTCAGTCGGTAGTCATAATTAACCCCCCCCCCCTACCTATTTCATATTCTGAGTGCAAATGAACAAAGGCCTAGTCATTGCACCAGAAGTTTTCTTCAGGCTGCCTTCCATTTCAAGGCTTAATTTGTATCACAGAATAAATACCTTAATTTGTTTGTATATATCCGTGTTCCTTTGTCGTTATTTTATATGCTCTTTGCACGAAACGCGTAAAATTAAAGAATGTTGCAGAGGTAATCAGTCCGTCCGTGTGTTTCACCTCCGAAACTGTTTGTGTTTTAATTTTCGTGCCCATGGTTCCCACTAAAGACCGCCGGCTGAATTTATATTTGTTTCATTTTTATAGTATAATTCCTGCTAAACAAAAATTAGACCTAGCTCAATTTTGAGAAGTAATTCCTGAGAAGCTCAAAGTTCCTAAGCTGGTCACAAGAAATTTTATGAGTAAGTAGAAATTGAAGAATTTAAGAAATGACAGATATGCTGAGAGCAAAAGTAACAGGTGTTTCTGTGCGAGAAATGTCGATAGTAGTACACAAACGTTTACATATATTTTTTATCAAAGGCTAAATCAGCGGCGTTATTAACTTTAATTAACTTCGTGCACTTTAATTACATCCATCATCACGTCACTGCTTGCTGAAGTTTATTTTCTAGTTTATTCCGTTTATCCGGGACCTATCAGACTTCAGACCCGATCTCCAGCATCCACTCAGCAATCACACTGACACACGAGATAAACGATTGGTTCATCTGATCGCGATAAGACGTCACCATCCAATCACAGAACGCAATGATTGACCTCAACAAAGCAGGAAACATATGCATGACCTTCTGTCTAGTTTCTTTAATTTTGTACATTTTGATCGGCAAGGTTACGTGTGAAAGGTGAAAGGCTCCAGTGAAAGGTTGGCATTGAGATAATATCTAAGCCTAAACGTGTGATTACTTACCATGAGCCTCGTTTGTGACGATCGAGTCCAGTTTGTGACCTGCTGGAGAAGCTCAGAGGAAAGATTCACCCCTTCGGGCTTCCATATGTTCTGTAATAAATACGAAATGATAAGCTACTTGAATTTCCAAATACAAAACACGTTACTAATATTACATGAAGATACAAAAAAATGCCAAGATCTCTATGGGTCAAAGATCTTGTCCTGTAACAAGTACGATACCAGCGATGTTAAACCTTGGGATTTTAATACCAGAGCGTTATTAAATGGATAAAAGTAAAGTTACTTAATTAATGTGCACAGAAAATTCTGTCGAAGTGAAAAAAAGTTGATTAGATGCCAGTGGGCAACCCTATTATCATCATCATCATCATCATCATCGTTGTTATCAAAATTCCCGTCCATACAAAATATGAAGCACTCTGTCAATAGAAACTTTTGAGGTAAATTAACTCGCTGAGACCAAAGTTAATTCAAATAAAAGTTAAAAATGAATGTATTTTTTTGCCGCAAAGAAAACACTAAACATCTTCTTCATGACAACGAGCAGCTGGTTGATGCAAAAAGACATACAATCGGTGCATATTCTCAGAATCATACAAAAGCCATCAACACACTCTGTTGGCAAAATTAAGATTTATTAATTGTTAAAGCGCGTGGTTCATTTTGCTGCAGCTGAGGGGTTGATAAATGGGCTTAATTGAATTGTTATTTATGATTAAATAAATGTAAAGGAAACAGAAAGACGAGGTCTCCCTGGGAGAATAGGGTCTACGATACAAGCCAGTGAGTGACCCACCTCGTTACATAATAATATATAGCAGGGTGCTAATATTGTTGGAGATGACATCACTGATCACGTGACACTCATATCCTCCTTGCCCTACCTTCCAGCATGTTGGATTTTCCATGCCTGTCCAATCATCATATTCCAAACATGGACCAAAGAGGCAATGAGAGGGCGAAGAGCAAGACAGGCACAAGGGACTCACCAAGACGAACGACAGATAACTCATTCCGCCACAAATTTCATAATCCTGTCGTCCACTGTAAAATTCCAGGAATTATGTTTCTCGAAATTTGACTTTTTACGATTTGATTAATCTTTACGCATGCGCGGCATCTCCAGAGCCGATCCCCAATAAAGGGACTATTGCCCTCACTCTATTACACTGTTCTTCACACATACGAGTCAACAAGCAATGTATGGGCTTTGTGTAGATTTCAAAGGACATTAGTTGAAACAGCAAACTTTTCTTTCTGATCGCGAGAACATTCCGTCTGAACCACCAATGTAAATATAAACAATATATTTCGGAGATCTGTGTTAAAAATTTGCCAGTGAAGGTGTTACAAGGAGCAGTTTGAGTCCGTCCGTCTCCATCTTGAACTATACCAAATTACTGATTTGTGGTATAAATAATTTTCTAATAGAGGGAATTTTTATTTTTAACCTCTCATCAAGAAAACAATTCTTTACATAAAACGTTTCAGAGGTCCTTGCTGTCTGCGATGTTAAAGGCAGCAGGGACCTCTGAAACGTCACAAACGTCTATCAGACTACAAGGCGCAACAACCCAGAAGACAGACATCATCTGACTCACCGCCTTGAGAACCTCAGATCCTGCTGACAAGACAGAATTTTCTGAACTTCGTGTTAGCAGCTATTAATAGAATTTAATCTGCTCTTAATGTTCATTATGCCACATTATTTATAAAGCTTTGCGGTTCTCACATTTGATCCGACTGTGGTGAAAGTAGTGTTGATATGGCACGTACAGCGACGACTGATGTAGCATAAACATATAGCAACAAGCGTATGACGGACAAGTCTGACAGTTGCTGGAAGACGCGCGCATGTTCAGGAGAATAGTAATATTAAAACATGACAGCGATTAATCTTTATCTGGTGTAACATAACGAAATGCGATGGCCTATGGTGAATACAAGATCGTCTGTCAACTGCTTAGGGAATTGGTTTTTTGCAGGGACTAGGTCGATCAGTTAGCTGCTTAGTTAGTTCGTTACTCAGTTACTTATTTAATTGTTAGTTTTGAAAACTTATATTCGAGTAGTTCAGTTCACTTGTTAAACGATCTGCTTAGACGGACAGTCAATTTAAATTCTCTGCCTGAACTGGTAAGTTGTATAAACAGAAATGCACTCAACATGAGGCCTGTTCCTTGAGCAGTTCGCCACAGCAAAACTCAGCCCAACACCTGGTAAGATACCCGCTCGTTTTCCTGAATGACACGCGGAACGCAGATGAAATTGGCTCTGGGCTTCATCTCCGACACTTGACAGAGATTCTCAGCCTGAGTCCTCCGCAGGGAACCTGGTTCATGAACAGCTCAAGTCTCGGTCTTTACGAATGAACTCTACAGTCCAAACTCATCTAAATAATATTTAAGAATTCAGTCCGCACCGCGAAGAAAACACATCACTTCACCATTACATAGATCAACTGGTTAACGCTGTTCACAGTGAGAAACGCGAAACCCACAAATACAAAATGCAGCGTTACTAATAGTTAAATCAGGTGGTACGTATAGTTACCGCTGGGTTTAAAGTATCCCTTACTACTCTTGTTTGAGTGCTTGTTGTCATGGCCAGACCTGTGTTCAAACCGAGATAAGAACAAGAATACTAACCTAACCTAACCTGTACATATGGAGGCTGATTAAGAACAGGTGGTCCGCGGCTCGCGACCTGCTATCCAAAAATTTCTTCAGGCGTTTAGACGAAATAATTTTGCGAAAACACGAGAACAAAAGTCTTTGGGTTGATTCAAAATTGTTAAAAGTCTGAGCGAAAACACGAGAATAAAAGTCTTTTGGTTGATTCAAAATTGTTAAAAGTCTGAAACAGTATTTGAACATCAGAGGAATTTTTTTTTATTTCTGACTGATCCCCAACTTATGGCAATCCTTCCGTCTTTTGTACTCTTTGTCGCCTCATTGCTGACAACAAAACAAAACTTTAATTCCTCTTCTGGAGCACATTTCCTTGTCTGACTGACAACTTTCCAGAGGAATGATTGATTACTTCGAAACTAGTTTAGACACAGTCGCAGGACAATTATTACCGCTGAATAACGCCATCACTAGTTTCGTTTTTTGCTGTTCAACATTCACAAAAAGATGACGAGACGTCACTGATGTCTCTACCAGTAAGATACTGACTGGCCACTAACAACTCCTCATGAAGGCCGAATGTGTCTTCTAGTGACATCTCGGTGATTTGTGATAGCTGGAGGCTTACGCCTTTGCCAGCAAAAGAGGGAGTACAGCAATGTTTAACAGGCACGTCTGATTCCAAATTAACTAACCGGTAATACCTTAGTACGACAACCATTCCTTAAATTAGGACCGTATGAATAGAGAGGAAAAATTAAATCATAAATTAATAATTGAACTGCACAGCAAATTGTGTCTGTCCGTACGTACTATAATAGACATAAATCCCTGGAAGATACTGGGCACAACTTCGAATATTAGTGTGATTACTAATTAACAACTGACGCTCACGTAGTCAACAAAATCACCACTTTTAAGGGAACCAAAATGTTCTTTACAGTATTCACCAGAGCCCGTCACTGGATACTGTCGTGACACACTTTAACCTAGCTAAAGAAACATATTAATATTACCCTGCCATCAACGCCTAGGTCTCCCAAGTTTGCCTTTTCCCTTCAAGTCTTCAGGCCAAAATGTTGTCCCATATTAACACAATTTAAGGTCTGATAAAACATCGCACATAGCAGCAGCGTCATTATTTTATAGGGGATTTAATCCGGTTGCTATGAGACGGCAGAATGTTAAGAGCTGCACACTGACTGGCTTAATGATTATTTGTTGCCATGGAAGTGATTTGTGTATCAGACGCTTGGATTCTAAGTTAAAGATATTTGAGTAATTGTAAGCAGTTCAAATGGAATTCCAACGTCAGCGATATTTGATATACAGACTGCAGTTGAAGTGTATTATTCGCAAAGTTAAAATCAAATCAAAAATACTGGGGCAGATAAATTAAATCTGACAACAAAACGATGTCTACATTATACTTAAAATACATTAGCTCTTTTATGTAAATCAAATCCGGTTTCGTGGTCGGCAGGTCCCGGTAAATATACCTACCAGCTATTCCAACATTTTTCGTAGTTGTCCTCAGTTCTTCTCGGCAAACACGGGGGTACTTTTTTGCAATATCTCTCTGTGTGTTGTCTCGTTACATACTTATATGTATTCAGTCTTGCGTGTATTTACTTCTAGACAAATTTATCTTCGCCTACAGAACAAATTGCGCACCTCTAAAACAAAGACAATTATAAAAATAAAAGATCCAGAGGGCCTCCATCAACAGTTACTTAAAAGTGGTGATGGCATAATGCAGATGGCTGATATGGGAATGAGATGTTGAAATGAATATAAAGACTGCAGAATCCGCGCCAGGACGGCTTTTTGTTCATAGCTCTTTGTTCTTCTGTTATTTACTTGTTTTTTTCGTTAAACATCGCACAGTTTTTTTTCTCCTCCTCCTCACGCTTGTCCCTCTGACATCATGTTGTACACGGTGGATAACCACGGCTACACTTCCAAATCTGGATGTTAACAAACCACCTCAAGTTTTGTATTTATTTTTATTCTCGCTGCAATCCGGTAACACCAGGCGAACGTCTCGTGGAGTTCGCTGGACACTCGGCCATTTTCCGGAACTGGTAATTAGGCTTTCTACTGCTTTGGCAATCCAAATTATATTATCCGTGAAGCAGAGTCCTTGAGAACCTATGTTAGTCAAGAAATTCCACTTTTTTTTCGTGCAACTCGATATTTCATTGCTAGGACCACAACAGCCCGTCACTGAACCATCCCGAATCTTATGAAATCAATCCACATTGCCCCCACCATATTTCTTTAACCTACATTTTAATATTGTCCTCCCATCTATGACAAGGTCTTCCAATTGCTGTTCTCCTCATGTTTCGTGACCAAACTTATTTCCATTTCTCATTTCTCCCATGTAACCTAACCTAATGTGTCCATGCTCAGCCCTTTTCCTGAGGGTAAAGCAATTGGAGCGTGAAGCTGACA